GCGGGTGGATCATGAGGTCAGGAGTTCAAGACCAGCCTGGCCAAGATAGTGAAACTCCATCTCTATTAAAAATTTAAAAATTAGCCAGACGTGGTGGCAGGCACCTGTAATCCCAGCTACTCAGGAGGCTGAGGCAGAGAATTGCTTGAATCTGGGAGGCGGAGGTTGCAATGAGCGGAGATTGTGCCACTGCACTCCGGCCTGGGCAACAGAGGGAGACTCCGTCTCAAAAAAAAAAATAATAATAAAAGTAAATAAATAAATAAAATGGCTAAAATGGTAAACTTTTTATGTTTATCTTAGCACAATTAAAAAAAAAACCAACCTCAATATGGAAAACTTCAGTGTCTCTCTTACTAGTAATTATCTCATTGTGTAACTCTTGACATCTCTCATAGCAACTACTTTACCCATAGATCAGAGTCCCTTCATTCAATTGTTAGCGCTGATTGGTACTGTGCTAACAAATGAACAAAGGGACCTAAGTATCTGAGTATGCATATGCATGCGTAGAAGTAAAGGCTCCAAGCCAACATCTCTTTTGCCCAGTCTTTTATTCCTCCCTTAAGGAAATCACAGAAGGAATGGTGTTGGCCCATCTTGAAAGAACTTTATCAAGTACTGGGTTTGAGCCCAGTTTGTGTAAAACCCTTAAGTGGCCTAGAGGCCAAAAGAGGTTTAATATTACCTCCTTAACCCCTAAAGACTACTGTCTTCTGGCTCCAACGTTAGGGAAGAAGTGAGACCTGACTACTTAAGTTTCTCTCCTTTCTTCTTCTCCCCACTGCACAATCTTGCCAAGGTAAACTATTCCTATAGGGCCTCTTAGGGATATCTAAAAAGCAACAGCTTTTGGCTGGGCATGGTGACTCATGCCTGTAATCCCAGCACTTTGGGTGGCCAAGGTGAGTGGATCACCTGAGGTCAGGAGTTCAAGACCAGCTGGCCAACATGGTGAAACCCAGTCTCTACTGAAAAAGTACAAAAATTAGCTGGGCATGGTGGTGAGCGCCTGTAATCCCAGCAACTCGGGAGCCTGAGGTAGGAGAATCGCTTGAACCTGGGAGGTGGAGGTCGCAGTGAGCCAAGATCGTGCCATTGCCCTCCAGCCTGAGCAACAATAGTGAAACTCCATCTCAAGAAAAGAAAAAAAAAGGCAACAGCTTTTGGGCAATGATCTACCATTACTGTACCTTCCTGCTTCCCTTCATTTTCAAAAAAAAATTTTCATGCATTCAACAAACAGATTACATTCTTTCTTCTCATGTTAAGTCTTTGAAATCTGGGGTACATTTTATACTTAAAAGCACGTCCTAATTTGGACTAGACACATTTCAAGTGCTCAGTAGCTACATGTGGCTAGTGGTTACTGTATTAGATGCATAGCACTAGTGTATCTCAAAATAACTGTTGAGGCTGGACGCAGTGGCTTACACCTATAATTCCAGCACTTTGGGAGGCTGAAGTGGGAGGATCGCTCAAGGCTGTGGTAAGCTATGATCATACCACTTCACTCCAGCCTGACCCATAGAGAAAAACGCTGTCTCAAAAAAAAAACAAAAACCCACAAAATAACCCTCCAAAACAAAAAACGAACAGTTGGGACCAACTAGGATTAATACTTGCCCAGCATTTACTTCTCTGGGTAGGGTGGGATAATGCCGAAGAAATGATGGAATCTGAAGCGGCTTACCCATCAAAGGAAGAGCTGGTGCAGTCGTATACCATCTCCCGGTTACCCTTCATTTGTAGATATGCATCACAATTGTCACAACCATCATATTCAAACTGGTCTATAGTCTGGGAGTGAAGAAAAATAAAGGAAAAGAAGAGATAAGCATAAACAAGACAAAAGAAAAAGTTGCTTTCTCAATACTTCACCTGCTCAATTTCTTGTTTCCCTATGTTGACTGTGTTTCCTCCGGTTCCCCACCTACTACTCCCGAAGCTCCATTTCTAGGTCCCACCCTCCCACTCCTTCCTCTCTTGTTCCCAATTCCGTTTTATCTATTCCTTTCTCTAGTCTCCTCAGGGTCAGGCACCCTTTCCAACTACTCACTCAGCTGCAGATCCCCACGGGCCTCTGATTACCAGCGTCTTTCGGCTCCAACGTAAGTCCACCGAACGTCTAAGAGCTGAGGATTCAAAGCAGCCCCAGCTTTAAGACCTGCCCGCGACCCTACGAGGTAAACAATGGCCTCCTTCGGCTTCTCCTCCCGCTGCCACCTCTGAGTCCTGGACCCTACTTTTCTCTTTACTGTCCCACAGCCCCGTTCCGCCCTCATTCCCCCATCTTGGTCCCCCATGGACCCTACAACCAGGCCCCCGACTGACACCTTGACCAGTGAACACAGCAAACAGGCCCGCAGATGCCGCAGGTCCTTTGGCACGGTCTCCAGGGCCATCTTCTCCGATGGGACGAGCAACAGAGATGAAGACAGCCACAGCCTACACACCCGCAGGAAGTAAACAGCTCGTTACCCAGAATGCCGGCCACTTCTGGTGCTTAGACTTCCTCTTCCGGCGTGGGCGGGAGCCGGCTCCGCCCCTACCCCCGGCCAGATGAGATGGTTTCTCCCACCTGCAAGCGGGGAGGCGGGGCGGCCGGCTGCCACCTAGGCCGGGGCGCGTCCTCGCCACCTGGGCACGCGGAGGGTGAGGCGGAGGCGGTGCAGGGTAGTCGGCGGGTCCCCGGGGGGCGGCGCGGGCGGCCGTGCCTGCGCGGGAGTGCGTCGGCCTGAGCCGCAGCGCCGCGACGCGGGCCGTTTGATCTGTGCTGCTGGCGTGGGGCTCCCGTCGCGTGCCCCGAGGGTAGCCCGAAGTCTTTTGTTTTTGTTTTTTGGTCTTCTCGTTTTAGAAGCATTGGGGCAGTGAATCCAGTGTCTCCCTCTGGATTATCTCTGCAGAGACCCAGGACAAATCCGGGGATAGCCCCACCCCTCCTTCCTAACTGCGAGAGTGCTGTAGGGTTTCCACGTGCCTCCCGCAGGAATGCTGGCTGGGTAGCTACGGCGGAAAAAAATGCGTATTTATCTTTTAAAACTATATGTCTGTTTGCTCGTTCCGGCTGATAATTTATAGTTTGCGCAGTTCTTAGTACTTAGACAACGGTTCCTTTACTAAAGAATATTTGTAGATTAGTGTCCTTTTTTCCCCTTTCATTTCACGTATAGGAAGCAAAATGCCTTGTTCTATGGCACCACCCCACCACCACCCCTACCAAACCTTTCTCGGGGAAGCAGAAGGGGCACTTGTGCCGTGTGAGGAAGCGACAGAGGCCCCTTCTGCTCCTGGAGACTTCAGGCCAACGGAGCACCAGCTCTCTTCGTCCTCACAATGGCCCGAGTGCAGGCAAAACACAGTCATTTGTATTTATCTGAAAGGAGCTTTGGGTTATAAATAGTTTCAGGCCCCGCTGCTCTGTCCTTCCAGGCCAGCCTCCTGATTGAAACTGAGCTGCTTCCGGGTAGGCTTGCTTCTTGTTGCCGGTCCCATGCTGTGTTCAGATGGGCTCTGTGACAGGTTTGGATGTTTTCTATCACTGAATAAAACTTTCCACTTTGGAACATGTTTTCTACTCTCTGCTATCTCACCTAAGTCCTGCAGCAACTATGAAATAGGCCCATTTTATGGACTGAAAAAGCGAGGCACAGAGTATTTGCACAAAGTCACAAAGTCAAGTCACTGAAGCATCATAATGTGTGAAGTGAACAGTGTAATAATATGACTGAATCACAGTGAGAATCCAGTCACGCTTTCTCTTTCCCTAATCTCACTAAGCCACACTTTTAGGGGCTTACAAACCATTTCTTATTGCCAAGCCCTCTACTCTACCCTATCCTTTGATAAATCGGAGCCTAGCCTCTGATAACAGAAATAATTTATTTCTCTTGATGTAGAAAGAGATGAAGTTGTTACCGAGTGACAGTCACGACAGAACAAAACCACAAGACCAGACCACATTTGTGGATAAATATATTAGCAAATAAATACATTTCTCAACGTAGTGCCTGATTCAAGCGTCTTTCTGTCTGTTTCAGATATAAATACCCATGTGGGTGCCTAGGTGCTAGTCTCCCCACTAACAGGGAAGAAGGTTCCCAGGTGGGGTCCTGTGCCCACTTTGTCCCCACATTCACATTCCAAATGGGATAATGCCTGAGGGGCCAACAGTGGTCAGGCTGCCCTGGGGTGAATGTCACCCTGCAGAGGCCCCTCAGCCCTTGTCCACTCTGTGTAAGTGGCCTAGGCCAGACTTGTGCTCTAATCCACTCTCCTGTGGGTCCCTGGCCTGCATGGCTTATACTGGGGAGCTGGGCTTCTGGGTCCTCCAAACCTAAGGGTCACACTTTGCTTTTCCTTTGTTCTCCCCCATTCTCCATCCCTGCTCTGAGACAAAACTTCTCCCAGAGAACTCTTTGTTGTCCCTGCTCAGCTGTGATTCTGCCTTTTCTACCTTCATTCCATCCTTCCTCCCTCTGCCCAGATCAAGTCCAGCAGAAATTCTCTCCTTTCCACCTGCTCTGGGATTCTGAGACAGGAAATCTTCAAAGAGGAGTTTTTCCCTCTCCAATATTCTTACTCTAAACCCCCAGAGGAGCTAAGGCTGCTGAAGCAAGAAGGGTTCTTCTGCAGTACCCCGCTCGGGGACAGAACTACACACTAGAATGGGAAAGCTTCAGGGACCCCTCCTCTTAGTGCTCAGGGCTTACCTATGCTCCTGGTCCTTTTGGCAAAAAAGGAATTATAGAGCCTAGGTTGCCCCTGCTGTAGCCGCCTTACTGTGGAGGGGCCAAAGCTGGTGTGCAGAGCTCACCTGAGAAGGGAGGTGATAAGGCGTCATGTATTCTGCTGAACCCAATGGCTGGTGTGAACATGAGGCCTGGGGTGAGGGAGATCTGGTAGGGATCGGGGAAGGAGCAGCACCTTTGTAACACCTGGCTACCCATAGCTAGCTTTCTGCCCTCAAAAAACTCAGCCTTTAAGAGATCCAGCCCACACACGCCACAGGCAGGAGCTGGCTGCCTGGCTGGACACGGACTTGCTGCACTGCAGGTGTGTTCTGCAGACAAGGTCTGGAGCTGGAGCAGGAAACAGCACCCTCCTGCCCTCCACCACCACCAGTCCTCTTCCAGTGCTTCTAGGAAGTATGGCAAAAAGACTGGTGTTTGCTATGGTCCTTTCTTCTCCCTGGAGCAGGACTCTGTGCCAGGCAGGGCCCAGACTCATCTGGAGCACACTCTTAGTTGGAGCTAGGCCTGAACATCTCACACAGCCTGTTCACACAGCTCCTCGAGTTCCTCCTCTGAGCCTGTATTAGAGAGAGAGGAGAGGAAGGAGGTCACTGAGGGTCAGGCCAGGCTTCTGCTTCTCTCACCTGCAAAAGAGTGTGGCTGGGAGGGGACAACAGGGAGGGAGGAGCAGAGACTATGTCTGGAAAGGGTGGTTAGATTGAAAGCTAAGGGAACATAGGGGAGAGAAAAACAAATCTAAGGAAATATATATAGCAACCAATGTGTTACTAATACTTGCTATTATTCACCCAATAAATATTAAGCATTAGTTGTGAATTTAGTCTGCTACCATATGCCAAATAGAAGACCAAAAAGGATAAGCAGGGACCTGGTAACGTTTTTGGAGAGAAAGTATGAAAGCAAATGGCCCTTACGCTAGTGAGACAGGACAGGAGTCATGAGAGATCCATTAAGGAAGGAGACAGACCAGGTCCAAGTGCAGCAATCAGAAAGGCTTCCTGGAAGTGGGGATAAATGAGCTGATTCTGTAGGAATAGGTACGAATTAGATTTATGGGAATAGGGAAGATAGGAGAATATTCTGGGCTACAGAATGCTTGGCTAAAGCATTGCCTGGAGAAGGGACAGAAGAAAGTAGAAAATAAGGTTGAGAAGGATGATGGGGGCTGGCTGGTGTGGGAAACTTGGAGGCCAAAGCAGACTGGATTTTTCCTCTCTGTGGACAAAACAGAACATCTGAAGATTTCTGGACAGCTTGTAATGCAGATGATGCTGGCAGCAATAGGGAGGGTAGGTGAGCAGGAGAGCTGTGGCACACAACTCTATGGGACATACTGGATGAGCAACACTCAGCCTTCAAGGCCCTGTAAGAGGGAAGGGAAGAGCTAAGAGGCTCCTGCATCGATCTTTAGGCTATACCAAAGACACTGGCAGGGCCAGTACCGGACCTGAGGAGAACATGCATGATAAAGCTAGCCAAGATACAGTTAACAGAACCTGGCACTGATTAGATGTGAGAGGCAAGGAAAAGAGAGGCACTGAAAGTAGTTGTGAGTTTGAAAGAAAAGGGAGGTAGTGGTCTGGCACTGGCAGCACTGAGAGTACACACGATAGGGCTGGAACGGAATCACAAACACATAGCCAAAGCTTGCAGCACGTGGCTCTCTCCCCATGGACCAGGATTTCCTGGATGGCAAGTTCCATGTCCTCAGAGCCTAGCTTGGAACCTACAGCAAAGCAGGCATATAGTCAGAAGGAAAAAAAGGAGGGAAGGAGAGAGGAAGTGAATGAATAAATGAATGAATGGATGAGAGCATCTCTAGTCCTACATGAAGAATTCCTACACTGAGAAATATTTCAGGACCTTTGGGTCACCTCCTAGGGCAGAAGGGTTCTCCTAGTGATGGCTGTAGACAGAGTCCTGTCATCCATACAATGGGGGAAGATGGGAGAGTGGAAGGTGGAAGATCCTGGATGGGGAAGAGGAGTATGTGGGCAAGTAAATACCATGTTAAAGTTGAGAACTTACATGAGCACCACTTATTATAATATAGGGATGGACTGAATCCCCAAGAAATTGAGGTTGGTCTTATTAATAATGGTGTATGGAAGGGGAGTCCTCTTTGTTCTTTTACCACAGCGGGAGAGGGAAAACCTAAGGCCCCACAGTGCTGCTGGGAACTATCTGTGGTTTCTCTCTCTCACTCTCTTTTTTTCTCGTTACTCCCATATCTCTTCTTGTATAGTCCAGTACTATGGTTATCTGTAATTATTTCTATGATAAGATCATGTTCTCCCCAGGGAACACTTCTTGGCCTTCTTTGTATTTAGAACTAATACTGAGCTGTGAGCGTTGGTAGAACTAAACCAGTTATTAAAATATAGAAACATTTAAGTTTGAGCTGCTGCCCCAGACCACTCCAAGTACCTTTTTTTATTTTTTGAGATGGAGTCTCGCTTTGTTGCCCAGGCTGGAATGCAGTGGTGCCACCTTGGCTCACTGCAACCTCTGCCTCCCAGGTTCACGTGATTCTCCTGCCTCAGCCTCCCAAGTGGCTGGGATTACAAGCATGAGCCACCGCACCTGGCCTTCCAAGTGCCTTTCTGATGCCTCAGCCACACTGGTACCTCCCTAGGACCTCCCTGTGATCTGCCAACTAAATGGGTAGCACCTTTTAGAGCTGGGGTGTTCCAGCACTCTAGCCAGCATGCTATGCTGTCCCAATGGTTAAGTATTTTCAAATCACTTCTGCTGTATCCTTCTCAGCTTCCATCAACCCTTTGTTGGCTGACTTCACCTGTCCCGAAATATTCAGCTCTAGTCTCCTCTCCCTACCACACCCACTTCCCCCTGAAAACTCACCAGGCTGGGCCAGAAGCACCTGGCAGTGTGGATAAGGGCACGGCCTGCCCTCTGCAGTGTCAGAACTCCATTCAGAAGGCCCCTCCCCAGGTGGATGTGGTTCCAGGGGCCGGCGAGGAGCCAGACACAACCACACTGGCTGTGAATTTGAGTAACAGGGGCCTGGGGTTTCTGGTACCAGCCTCCTGTCCAGTCCTGAAGGTCCAAAGATCAAGGGGTGTGCCTCTGGGGACCAAGGATATGCCTGGTTGGGGCTGTAATGGGGAAAAATCTGGCAAGCTGGGTGCACAGTTGCATCCTGGGGCCGAGAAGCAGGGGTGGGCTCAGAGGGACCCCCCCGCCGTTTCCTCTGTGGGTGTCGGGCAGAGAGGCTGGATTTTTGCAAGTTGAAAAGACTGCTGGTACTGGGGCAGATGCTGGAGGCTTCAACTGGGCCAGGGGCTGGCTCAGGGAGGGCCCTGGGCCTCTGTGGGTTAGAGAGCTGCCCCGAAGGGGCTGCTGAGTTGGATCTGGTGACTTGCTGATCAGGAGAAGGTGGCTCCAGCTGGGGCTGTGTCTGAGGAATAGGAGGCCTGGACTGGGGGACCCCAGTTTCTGGGCCAGGCTTCCTGCCATGCCACTGGAACCGCTTTTTGTAGTGGTGGTGCCGGTGGCGGTGGTAGTGGACATGGCTGGAAACCTGGGTTTCCCCTGGGGGCACCACTGAATCTAAGGAACGAGGCCGAGAGGTCACGCTGGGCTGCATGTCCACCTGCTGGGGATCCCCTTCAGGGCTGCAGTACACCAAGGGGTCAAAGTCACTGCTCAGGGAGCTGCAGAAAGTAGAGCTGCTGCCATGGATGCCCTGTAGGCTGATGTCCGTGCAGTTGACCACAGAGTCACTGGAAGAGCCGTGACAGGGCCCTGAGCTGGAGTCACTGGCTGGCCCATCTGCCAGGTACCCACTGCGTTCTGTGCAATAGCTTTCTCCAGATCCACTGCTGTCGGGGGGTCTGGCCCGGCGCAGGGGCACTGGGCAAGCAGCAGGGTGCTGTGAGGTGCATTGGAGGTGGCTCAGTCCCCAGCCCTGTGCATAGGAGTGTGGGGCCCCTGCCAGGTGCTGCTGCTCTCCTGGAGCCCAGGGATGTGCAGCTCTGGGGAGGCGGTGATGCCGAGGGCCCATGCCTGGCTCCTGGGATGGCAGGAAGGGACCAGGTCGTGGGGGCCGAGCCACTGCACTCTGGGAAGGGCCCAACAGGTAGGCAGCAGGGAGGTGGTAGTGGGCATGGCCAGGATGCTGGCGAATGAGGTGGAGTCTTCGACCTGGTTCTTGGTAAGATCGAGAGGGTGATAGGGACTGGGAAAATGAATCTCCCTCTGAAAAAAAGAACCAAGAGCACAGATGTTTAAAGCTACAAACCTATAGAGAATGCATTCAGAAAGATATGGCTGTAGCTAATCTATTTGACCCTGCATAGCCTGTGAGCTCAGAGTTTGGGGGACCAAGGACGTGCCTAACCTGACTGTGCTCTGGGACTTTCTCATTTCCTCCAGTCAGGATGTCTGCCCGGGGAGGCCCACTATGCGTGTCAATCCCTGCTTCTCCCATCAGCCATTTGGAGCTCTTTCACCCAGGACCACTGCTAGCCCATAGGGCACCTGTGGGTACCTGGGAAAAAGGTTCTCTTTCCTCAAGATATTCATTTCACTTTCATCTTTTAGAAAATTATCTTAACATACTGATTTTGTTAGAATAGGATGCTTTATTGCCAGAAAATTGGAATAATAAACATACAAATCACCCAGATTTAGAATCAACAAACCTGTCATGAAATACAAATAATTTTTACCATAATAAAAATATCTACATTGTGAATGACCCTTCCCCTCAAGTGAGGCACTCTGGTGCAGTGCACAGCCTATACAACTATGGTGGCAGTTCTGCTTTCTCCCCGGCTTCAAGGCTCAACCCTTTCCCAAAGGGAGTCACATTCTAGACCCATCCGCCTGCACACAGGGGAGTCCTCGGCCCACCTCCTACCTATGATGTTGAACATGCAGAGGGGGCAAGTCCGATGCTGATGTAACCAGGGGTCCACGCAGTTACGATGGAACTCATGGAGGCAAGAAATGACCCGTAGTTCCTGGAGAGAAAGAGGGAGTCCAAACCAAAGGTTTCTGGAGCCATAGGAACTGCCAGGAATCAGGATATCCCCCAACTCCCTTAGGCCTCTCCTTCTTGCTATTATCTACTTGCAAAAGACCTCACAGTAGAATAGGAACGGTATGAGCTTTTGTATCACGTAGACCTGGATTTTGCACTTAGCTGCATGACTTTGGGCAAGTTTCTTAACAGACAATTTTCTGCTGTAAAATGAAGATAAAAAATATATCTAACCCCACCCTTCACTGCCATGGGTCTAAAATGAGATAATGCATCCAAAGTACCACTGCAGCCTGGCACGTGGTACATTCTCAACAAACGATAGTGCTCTTTCACTGGAAGGCCAGAAAAGTGACCAAACCTCAGGCTGGTCCCCGATCTCTGCCTCATGCAGGATACATGGGAAACAGATGTAGCCAGGGTACTCATCCCAGCCCTAAGCCTGTCCACCCCTGCCCCAGCTTCAATCTCCCCAGACTGGTCAGGGTGGTAAACCATAAGATCTGCCTTACCTCCCCCTCAGAGAACTCCTCCAGGCAGATGGCACACACGGGGGCTGAGCTGCAGCTGCTCCCCGAGTCTGGCCTCTTACCTCGAGCCCGCCTGCAGCTGGCCTTGTACCTCCTGGTGGCCAGCTGGCTGATGGCCCAGGCTGTTCTCTGCTGAAGTGGATCCTGGGGAGAGGAATGGGGTTCAGAGTGGGGCATGGGCTCCCCTTCCCTTCCTCTCTGGACCCCAGCTTGGACTCAGCTAGCAGTCACTCAGGTAGATCACATGGCCAGTTGAACATCCTCAGGAGTTCATCTCCTTGGAGCTCATATGTGTCTCTGCCAAGCACGCCAAGCCCTCCCAGTCCACCCACTTGCTTCTACCATTAGCTTTTCTTCCTTGGATGACCCATGAGGGAAACTTTTTATCCCACTGCTGTTTGACATTTCAACTTGGATATCTAATAGGCATTTCAAACTTATATGCCCCATCCTATTAACCATAGGCTAATCTCTAACCACATGCCTGGCTTCCCCCAGTCTTCCCCATTACAGCAAATGGTAACTCCGTTCTCTTAATTGCTCAGGCCAAAAATCTTGGTGCCATCCTTGAGTTCTCTCTCTCACACCCCACAAACAATCCATTACTAAATCTGTTGGCTTTGTCTTCAAAATATACCCAGAGCCTAACTATTCCTCACCGTTTTAACTGCCACCTTCCTAATCCAAGCTACCATTACTGTCACCTGGATTCCTGCAATCGCCTTTTAGCTGGCTTCTGTTTCCAGCCTTGCCTCCTTGTAGTCTATTCTCATTGCAACAGCAAGAATGATCATGTTAAAACATAAGTCAGATTGTGACGCCCCTTCTCTCACAACACTCCAATGGCTCCTGTTTCACCCACGGGAAAAAACAAATGACCCGTAACTGGGCCCCCACCGGCTACTCTGCCATCTCACTCTCTCTATTCCAGCCACGGCCTTCATGCTGTTCCTCAGACACTGCCTCAAGGCCTTTGCACTTACTGTTCTTTCTGCCTGGATTTCGTTCTCCTCAGACACCTGCACACATCACTCCCTCACCCATTTAGGGTCTTTGCTGCAATGCCATCTTCTCAATGTGGCCTTTCTTGGACTTGCTTTTAAAAATTAACCCTGTTCCCTTGTATTCCCTCCCCACTTTGCTATCAGCATTATTATTTTTTCTCCATAGTACATACCACCATCTAAAACATTATAGATTTTATTTATTTAGCTTGTTTATTGTCTGTTTTCTCCCTCTAGGATGAAAGCTCTTTGAGGATAGAGGGTTTTTGTCATTTTGTTCACTGTACTACCCTCAGCACCTGGAACAGTGCCCGACATGTAATAGAACTTGGTGTATTTGTTGAATGAATAATATGAGGAGAGGCTGCTGGAAATCAACAAAGACAGATGCTGGGCTATTTGGATGTAAACAGTTTCATGGGTATACAGGTGCCTTCCTTCTTCACATTCTCCCTCCTGCTCCCCACCCACCCACACACATGCACACGTTCACCACCGCAAAGAGCCCACACTGCTCACCGGCCTGCTGTGGCGGGGGCGACACCGGATGCGCAGCACCGAAGCCAGGATGACCACAAAGATGGTGCCCACCACTGTCAGAAGGATCCACACATCATAGTCTGGCTGGGTAGTGAGCAGAGAGGGAAAGGTCATACTTCAGGGAGGAGCTGGGTCAATTCTAGAGGACACACAGGAGGTTCAGGAGGTACATGGCTAACTGGGGGTTACCTCAAGTCCTCCATCTGAGGGGATGGGGAGGAACCTGCAAGTGGGATTAGGCGGGCCTTCCCTGCTCAAGGGCACTCAGAGAGGGTTGTCCAGAGGCCAGCTGGGAAAAGTACTATCTCAAAGCCCATGTGCTTGGGGAAAAAAGAGAAAGGGACCCCTCTGCAAGGTGGGAGTCCCTTGCCAGTGAGCAGATGGGTGAGGTTCTTGGCCAGTAGAGAAGCCCCAACCAGGGGTCATGCGTTAGGGATCAGGAGACCAGGGTTTCATTCTGTCTCTGCTATTCCATGCCATGAAGCCACAGAGCTGTAAAGAACTTTAGAACTCATCTGTCTTGATCTGTTCATTCTGCAGGTGAGGCCCAAAGATGGGGAGAAACTTGCCCAGTGGCACACAGCTGATGGATGAAGTTGAACTAGAGGGTTTCTAGGATCTCTCTCAGGTCCAGGAGTCTAAGGGCTTTTGGTGGGAGTTGCCACAGGACAAAGTGGGGGTGAATGCAGGGCAAGGTCTGGAGGTCTTGTGTACTTACCCAGGCCGGAGGCTCCTTCAGCTCGATCCTCACATGGGCCTTTCGGTTCTTGTACACAAACTCCATCAGCTTCTCAGCATCATTACCCCAGATCAACACTACTGGCCAGGTCAGCCCCAGTGGCTGCTGCAGCTACAGGGGGAAGGTGCCCACAGGGCTGCTGTGACTTCTCCCTGCCCTTCTCTCCCCTCTGAGTGCTTTATCTTCCTCCATCCGGCCCCCTCCTTGAACACACAAATGTCCCTGAGTACCTGCTCAGCAGCAGCTCGATCCTCAGTGATGTCAAAGAGGACAGCACTGGCTCCTCGCTCACCTGCCATCCGGGCCTGCAGAGGCACACAGCAGAGGTTGGGCTAGGCTCGGGGAAGGACAGAGCCCACCCACAGGCTAGCCTCACCCTCACACATCTGTCCCTTCCTAGGATTTTGCCCACACTGCACCTCTGCACGCTCACATCTATGTATGCAGGGGGTCAGAGGGTCTAGGATCTCCTATTCTGCCTCCTGAGCTCACTCAGGTCCCCACTGCCTTCAGAGGATAATATCTAGCATTTCCTTTTGTAATGGAACAAACCCTTAAGAAGGGTTTACTGGGTGCGAGGTGGTGGCCCTGGCTCTAGGGCTAAAGACAAGTAAGACACAGCCCTTGCCCTTAGGGTACAATCAGCCTGCCTTCACTAAGAGGTGTGAGCACAAAGAGCAGGAGTGACCTGCACCCCGTAGGAGGAGGAAAGAGGAAGAAGGGGAAAGCAGAGAAGCAGAATTCTCCTTCAGACAGAGCTGGGCTTTGGGGAAGCGGAGCTCTCCTTCGGATGGAGCTGGGCTTTTCAGGACCCAGCCCTGCCTGCAGGGCATCTCCCCAGCTCAGGCAAAGGTGTAAGAGCCTGGGACAGCGCTCTCACCCAAGGCCACCATCACAAAGCCTCAGTCTCAGCCCATCTCATGGGCTCCCTCTCCCTGCCACACTCCACTTTGCCAAGTCTTTCTCTGGCTCCAGTTCAAGGACTTAGAGGAGTCTCTGTCCAGTGTTTTATCCTTTCGTCCTCTCCCTTACGGTGGCATTAGAGACAAAAGTGGGGAGGGACTCTAGTCCCACATGGTGAATGTGCATATGTGCCTGTTCACCAAGGGCTCCAAGAGTAGCTTGAGAAAGCACAATCTAGCCAACCAGGCAAAATGGATAGCAGCCTGAGAAGGAGAACAAAAAGCAGGAATCCAGGGTGGGTGGTGGGGGAGAGGGGAGTAAGAAAGGGAGATAAGAGCTAAAGGTCGGGGGAGGGAGGAGGCACACCGGCAAACAACTAACAGGCACCGTGAGGAGCTGCTCCTGGCCTTGGCCTGGGGCCTCCTGGCCCAGCACAGCCACCCCTCAGCCTTCTTTCCTAGAGCAAAGGTTCATCTTCTAATGGCATCAGGCTGTGATTTCACATCCCTGGGTAGCCCCACCCTACCCCAAGTCTCTGGGGTCTTCCCACAGGCAGTGAAGGAGTTAACCCTCCTGCTAGTAGTGGTGGCAGCAAGAAGAGACAGCTGGGACTTAACTCACAGGCTCAGCACTTTGATCTCTGCCTGTCTTCCCAGGGAGAGCCTGTCAGGGCAGGTCTCCTGCCAGGCAGGCTGGGAGCAGCTCCTTGCTCCAGGTTCCTGCTCTCCACTCCCCAGACAGCGGCAGAGGAAACACTCAGGTGGGGACTCATTTTGATCAGGAAGGTAATTTTCCTAGGGCCCAGGCTTACCAAGCTAATTGACTGGAAATTCACAGGACCAGTCAATTCCAGAATGGAACTGCTGAATAAGTTGAGAGGTTTGTGGCTTCCATCTTCCCTACTCACTTCCTCCCAGGAAGTCCACCCAATCTAAGCTTCTCCAGGCAGGCAGAGACTCTCCAATCTTCAGAACCCTCCTAGCCAGGGTATGAGAGAAGTACCAGGGGAAATGGAATCCCTGGTAGGGGAACCCTACTGGTGATCTCCTATTCCAGGATTTGGCCAAGGGACAGGAGAGGTCACCCCAGTAGTCACAGAATTGAGATTCCCAGGCCTTAGTTTTCATATCCCTAGAACAAGACCTTGGACCCACCCTGGCCTGGAAGAGCACGAGTAAGGGCAAAGACTTTCTTCTTTGGAGATTTTGTTACTTCCCCACCCCTCTCTCTTTGAAGAATTGGGGTAGGAACAGTGGAAGGCAATTACCGTGACATTCAAACACTCCAGCCCATTACAGCCCATAATTACAAAGTTGTAAAGCGATCAAAGAGCCCAGAGCATTGGCCAACAGGGGAAAACAAACAGGACTTTCAGGCAGTGGGTCCCTCTGTCCAGAATTCTAGGAAAAAAAGCAAGATCTGGAGACATATAGCAACCCAATCTAGGGCTATCTATGCCTCCTGTCCAGCTGACCCCAAGAAAGTCTGTGGGAGGCAAAAAGGAAAAAAGTACTTTTTTGCGGAGTGGAATCTGGAAAGCAGAGAGAGGATGGGCAGGCCCTCGTGACAGGAAGGTGGTTTTAGAAAGAAGCCAGAGAGCTCTTTGGAAGTTTCACAGTTGGCCAGCCCTAGGGGCAGCAGGCAAGGCTGCCACGGCCTCTAGCTACAGGAGCCATGACAGAGAGAGCCATGAGAATGAGTTGCAATGCTTACTTGCCGGACTCACGGTCAGCTGCTGCATTTCTCTGGGTCTTAGATTTTCCTCTCTAGACAAGAGTCCCTGTGTATCTTTTGATGAGTGTATTTCACTCATCAAAAGTGAAGCCCTTACTGTTCCCAGAGCACCAAGCCAGGGAAGGCCAGGCCCTCCAAAACAGCTCATAATATAGTGGTGGAGACAAAGCATATACATAAAACTACAATGCTGATAATATTCTAGAGCACAAAGGAATAGAAACAGAAGTTTCCAAACCCTTTTCACTCCAGAGGGCCCTCCCCTCCACCATCCCCTCCACCAACACACAGACACAAAATCTGGCACAAATCTTCAATATACAAAGCAGATAAAAGTGAGGCTGCTTACTCTGAGGTAGAGGTGGGGCAGGAAGGACCCTTGGCCTCTCCCCTCCACCCACCAGGCACCTCCCTGAAACCTAGACTTCGCAGAAGATGATGTTGAAAGCATGCACAGACACCCTACCCGCTGAAGCCATGGCCCCAGGGAGGGATTTCTGCTCCTACTGGGCTGGCTGGGCAGGTAAGGAAAGATTCAGTAGCAAAGGTGGGATTCCTCTGGGCTTGAAAGTTAAGGGTGGAAGGACGGAGAAGGAATATAAACCTTTATTGAGATCCGGGGCCCAGACTGCCTAGAGTTGAATGCTGGCTCTGAAATAATTAGCTGTGAGACTTTGGGCAAGTCACTTCACTACTCTATGTCTGTTTTCTTTTCCTGTAAACTGGGATAATAACAGGACCTAATCCATAGGGTTGTTATGAGGACTACATAAACGAATCCACACAAAGCATTTATAACAGTGCCTGGCACATGGTGTCGCTTCAGTGTTAGTTCTTATTATATCAACTATTATTTTTATTAATTCTTTAAAATTAATTTTTTTTGAGACAGAGTCTCACTCTGTTGCCCAGGCTGGAGTATGGTGGTGCAATTTGGACTGATGGCAATCTCCGCCTCTCAAGTTCAAAAGATTCTCCTGCCTCAGCCTCTCAAGCATCTGGGATTACAGGTGTATGCTACCAGGCCCGGCTAAGCTCTATCACCAGGCTGGAGTGCAGTGGCATGATCTCAGCTCACTGCAACCTCCACCTCCCACATTCAAGCGATTCTCCTGCCTCAGCCTTCCAAGTAGCTAGTACTACAGGTGCACACTACCACACCCAGCTAGTAGTGGGGTGGTGACAAGAATGGAAGCATCCAGAAGAATTATGGTGAAGGTTTCAGAAAAGAATAAGAGAGATAACAAATGGAAGGAAAAAAACCCAACTTTGTTAACTACAAAAGCATGGAATGATGACGCCCATGATGATGACTGTAATGATAACTGCAATCATTTATTGAGTGGTTACCATGTACTCGACATGGGGCTAAAAGCTTCCATCTGTACTGTCTCATTAAATCCTCATAACTACATATAAGTCCATTATTCCCCCATGAGGAAATAGAGGCTTAGAGAGGTGAGCTAAAATGTCCAGGTCACACTGAGGGGCAGTGGAGGAGCCAGGCTCCAAGGCCAGGGCTATCTGGCTTGAAAGCCCCAGCTCTGTCACTGGTGTCAACACCATTGACACCAACGGGAAAATCCAAAGCAGAGCTACAGGGAATCAGTGGTTTCCAAACTTATCCTCCCCTAAGACCCCATCTCTCCCATATACCTCTCATGAGTCATATTTTAAGAAAAACAGATGTTCGGCTAGGTGCAGTGGCTCATGCCTGTAATCCAATCCCAGCACTTTGGGAGGAAACCACTGATCCCCTGCAGCTCTGCTGAGGCAGGCAGATCACTTGAGGTCAGGAGATTGAGACCAGCCTAGTCAACATGGTGAAACACTGTCTCTACTAAAAATACAAAAATTAGCCAGGCGTGGTGGCACATGATGGTAATCCCAGCTACTCCGGAGGCTGAGGCAGGAGAATTGCTTGAACTTGGGAGGTAGAGATTGCAAGGAACCGCGATCGAGCCACTGCACTCCAGCCTGGGGGACGGAGCGAGACTCTGTCTCAAAAAAAAAAAAAAAGAAAAAAAGAAAAAAAGATGTTCTACCAAACTAACTAAATTTATTACTTACAATTCATTTTCCTATAACTTGTATTAACACGTTCAGTTCAACTAATAGAATTCTAACCAAAACAAAACCAAGTACTTGAGGTAAGCCTGTGGAACTTCAAGACTCATATTACTGGCCGGGTGCAGTGGCTCACACCTGTAATCCCAGCATATTGGGAGGCCAAGGCAGGTGGATCACGAGGTCAGGAGATGGAGACCATCCTGGCCAACCTCACCCTCTCTCTACGAAAACTACAAAAAGTAGCTGGGCGTGGTAGCATGCACCTGTAGTCCAGCTACTGGGGAGGCTGAGGCAGGAGAATCACTTGACATATATTATTTTCATCCTCATGATAATCATGGGGGTAGGAAATAAAAAGTCCTATGTTATGGTGACGGAAACAAAGGCTCAACAAAGTTAAGTACCTCAAAGGGCGCTGGCCATATATATGTTCCTTACTTCACAGTGTCTGTGTACATGTTTCATCTCTCCTACAGGAATATGGGCCTCCAGAAGGCAGGAAGAAAACCTACTACGTGGAAGCATCCTTACACTTTGCCAAGTGTTCACACATCTGTGAAATCATATTGTTTTAAAAGAACATCTGGCTGGGCATAGTGATTCATGCCTGTAATCTCAGTGCACTGGGAGGCTGAGGCAAGAGGATCACTTGAGCCCAGGAGGTCGAGACTAGCCTGGGCAACAAAGCAAGAATCCATCTCTAAAAAATAAATATGAAAAAAAAATTAACTGGGCATAGTGGTGCACACCTCTAGTCCCAGGAGGCTGGGGTGGGAGGATCACTTGAGCCCAGGAGTTCAAGGCTGCAGTGAGCCAGGATCATGCCACTGCACTCCAGCCTAGGTGACAGAGTGAGACTTCATTTCTAAAGATAAATAAATTAACAAACAAAAGAAGAGCAGAAACTCTGTATGGCAGAATTCTAGATGTTTCTATGAGCTTACTTACACTTTTCTGTAAAGTATCTAGGATAAACATAAATTCCTTTTATAATAGGTAAAGAGAAGGAGAAGACGGAGGAGGAGGAAAAAATAACAGCAAAGCTTCTCTGAACCCTTCCTCCCCATCTCTCTCTCGCTCACATGCGTGTATGCGTGTGCACACACACACACTCACTCACTATCTAATGCAGTACAGGCACTGGGAATTTGTTTATCAAATTTATTTCCTACCCCCATGATTATAAATAAATGAATGACATTTGCCCATATTTTATAAAGTAAGGGAAATGAAACATCCAGAAGTAGGGCAAGCAACTGCAGCCTAACAACTCTGCTGCCACGAAGGCTCACCGCCTTGCAGAGATGCCACACTCCCCAGCTCCTCCAAGTGCGTCTTGATCCCCTGCTTCCCACCACCTCTGGAATCCCCTTCCTCGTCAGCATGGCCAGGCCAGGTGAATATCTTCGCCCACATTCAGAATCCTGCCCACATTCCTGCCTGCCATAGGATGAGGTAAGAACTCAGGCTGCGCCAGGCGCAGTGGTTCACGCCTGTTATCCCAGCACTTTGGGAGGCCAAGGCGGGCGGATTGCCTGAGCTCAGGAGTTCCATACCAGCCTGGGAAACATGGTGAAACCCCATCTCTACTAAAATACAAAAAATTAGCTGGGTGTGGCAGCGTGTGCCTGTAGTCCCAGCTACTTGGGTGGCTGAGGCAGGAGAATTGCTTGAACCCAGGAGGCAAAGGTTGCAGTAAGCCAAAATCACGTCGCTGAACTCCAGCCTGGGCAACAAAGCCAGACTCTGTCTCCAAAAAAAAAAGAACCCAGGCTGTTTCCTTGTGTCCAGGAGACCAGGAGATCCACAAGGGATCTGGCCCTGAGACAGCAAGCTAGCACAAAGGCTGGGAGTGTAACTCTCCTCTCTTATCATCCTTGGGAGCATACCCATGTGTGCCACAAACAATCTAACTATACTCCACATATACATTCAGTTTTCCAGCTAGCAGGGAGGCCACAGATAGATTAAGCCTAGTTTTAAGAAACAGTACTGGATCCAAAGCTCAACTCCGCCCCTTCCTAATTGTGTCATCCAGCAAGTTAATTTTTCTGATCTTCACTTGTCTCATACATCAAATGGAGAATAATAATGCCTACTTTTCCTGATTGTCCTGAAAAGTGAATAATACAAAGAATCTGTCTCATGTCCACGTGGCACATTGTAAGCACATAGAAAACAGTAACTGCTATTGTTAGTTAAAGCAGGAGTCACAGGCAAAGGTCTAGAGGCCCCGTGAGGTAGCAGGCCAGGGTGGAGCAAAGCAAAAAAGAGGCCCACAGCTGTGGAAAGGGGGCAGCCCCAGCCCAGCTCCCACCAACCATGGCCTATAGCCATGTGCTTTTCAGGTTTCTTCTAGAGAAGCTGAAAATCTGAGTTTTTATATAAACATTTTTAATTTTTAAATGTGGCAATTAATTTACACATTGAAAAGTCACCATGAGGGTTAAATACAACGTATCTGCAAGCCAAACCCAGCTTGTACGCCACTAGTTTGCAACCTCAAGGGAAAAGTGTGAACTTTCTAAGGGTGGGGCAATGGTTTCTATTTTTGCTATTCTTGCATAGTGCTCAGTATTTATTTTCTTTTTCTTTTTCTTTTTCTTTTTCTTTTTTTTTTTTTTGAGATGGAGTCTTACTCTGTCACCAGGCTGGAGTGCAGTGGTAGAATCTTGGCTCACCACAACCTCCGCCTCCTGGGTTCAGGTGATTCTCCTGCCTCAGCCTCCTGAATAGCTGGGACTACAGGCACGCGCCACCACACCCAGCTAATTTTTGTATTTTTAGTAGAGACGGGGTTTCACCATGTTGGCCAGGATGGTCTCGATCTCTTGACCTTGTGATACACCCGCCTTGGCCTCCCAAAGTGCTGGAATTACAGGCATGAGCCACCGTGCCTGGCCCAGTGTATATTTCTAAAAGATGGAAAAATCCCTTCAATTGACCCCTTCTTTGCTGTGGGGCTGAGCAGCAGAAGGGACTCAGGAACTCCCAAGTGATGGTAAGGAGGTAGGATGGGAAACATGCCGGGATGAAGGTCAAAAAGTCCTGCTGGTGCTAGTTGGAGGAGAAAGAACAGAGGTGTGAATTTACACTTCTCTCAGACCAGTCATGGGTTAGGGAAACTTGAGGGAATCAGGTGCATCACTCTTAGGAAACGTGGGGACAAGAGAGCACAGGATCTTCTCACAGCCCAGAGCTGGGTGAAGTTCCAGGTGTGTGTAGGGCGAAGCATGAGTCTACCTTGCTGGCCAGTGAGAGGCAGGGGCGGGGGGCCCGTCGGGGACTCTCCAGCTTGACAATGCTGATGAATCCAGGCTCCAGATTGTCGTCATCACTGGCATTGCACAGGTACAGGGGGTGGGACTGCAGAAGAGACAGACTTGGGTTAGGGAGGCTTTAGGCAGCAGGAGTGAGCTGTGAGAACCAAGCACTTCTATGTTGTTCTAGAGAGGTACCAGGCAGGTCTCTTGGTGCCACAAAAGAGTAGGCCTTATGATTGGATTGCCTCATAGTAAGCTAGTGACTACTGTTTGTCATTTCAGTGATGCTGGGGCCAAGGACACAGGTAGTGGAGGCAGATGGGAGGGAGAGGGTGTCCTAGAGGGGGCCTAAATGAAGAGCTTGCTGCAAAGCAATTCTAACAACCTTCAACTCCAACAATCCTACTTACCTAAACTGGCCAGATGCAGAGGGCTCCTCTCCTGGCCCCAGCCTTTCTGCCTCCTGATCCTCCTACCTGTTCCCCAAGCCCCAGGCTAAGAGAATATCCATGTGTGCCCATATCAGTGCTTTCAGAATCCCCATGGGCAGTGCTGGGTGCTGCCGGTGCCTCCTGCCTCCTCGGGATGCCCCCCGGGCAGCTGATGCCTTGTAGATTCCCATTTCTCAGGAGGCTGGGTCTTCTCACTCGGTGCTGCCTTGCTTCTCACTAGCCCCTTTTTGCTTCTGCCCTGTGCCCAACCTGGGATCAAGTATGGTGCCGGGTGAGACTATCTTGCAATGAGGCTTGGCTAAAACATAAGACTTGACAGCTCACCCTGGTCCCAGAAATGACACTGTGGAGGTGGAGCCAGCTCAGCCCATCTGCTCTGAGGATGTGGCAGGTCCTGTCCAAGGCCTTCTGCCTCTGAACCCAGCTGGTGCTGAACAATGAATAAAGGGGAATGTGCCGACAGAAATCTGAGGTCCTCCTCATCAAAGGGATGAGACTGCCTTACTCTAACTCTCTTCTTATTCATGGCGATTTGTACACCCATTTGAATCTAATTTTCCTTAAATAAAATGTCAGAGTGTGATGAGAACAAAGTATGATTTATTTGGCCCTGAATAATCCTATGGGCCAGGGACTCCTATGTAGTAGAAACCCCATGTATCCTGGCAAGGAAGAGATGTCTTATTGGAGAGGTGCCCACATTTCCCCCTCTACTACCATTGAAGTCTGAAGGACTTTCAGAAAGAACCATCAGAGGATCCAGAGAGAATCTTGAATTTATAAAGATGTTTATGAAGAAAATGTCAATGATGGATTTAAAATCAAAGTTTCTGGAAGCACTTTCAGGCTATTTCCTATCACTGTATCACTGCGGTGCCTTGAACATAGTAGGCTCTCAATAAATATGTAGTCCCTTGCCTTGAATCAAAATCTCTGGGCAGAGGGTGCTGAGATAGGAGGGAGTTCCATTCTTGCTCTCAGAGTTTAAGGCCTACTAGTCTGGTAGTGAGCAAGGTTTAGTGTGGGAGAAAGGTTATTAGGTGCCCCTGCCCCCAGAAAAAGGCTGGGGCATGAGGATGAAGTTGTTCTCACGTCAGTGCAGCTATAGCCTCTGTCTCAACAAGCTCCATTAGTGTCTCCATCTGTCCATGCATCCATTCATTTCTTTGTTCTGCCAACACGGAAGGCCCCCGTGGTGTCAGGCTCTGTCCAATGCAGTGAGGAGTTAATGATAAGTAAGACAGGCTCCTTGCCTTAAAGTAGCTCAAACGACAAGCATGCAAACATTGTATTATGATGTTACGATGCAAGGGTCTACGGGAGGGCACAAAGAGGGGCGGCTGACAATACGTATGGGAAGCAGAGCAGTTTTCACAAGAGGTGACTGGAGAGCTTCCTTGAAGGCTAACTAGGTATGTGTTCACCCCAGGGACCAACGAAAGGGAGCGGGGTTGAGGGGGCACATTCCTGGCAGAGGAAGTCACTGCGCCAAGGAACAGAGGCCCGGCACAAGACTGAGGAAGACTGTGGGTGGTAAGGTCTGGCATGAAAGGGAAGGCAGGACAGGATCCTGCCTCGGAGGCTGGTACGAAAGGGAGGCTGGCATGGAAGGGAGGCTGGAAGGATCCGCAAGAGTCAGACCACAGAGCAGGGACCACAGATTTGCACTGGAGACCAATTTCTCTGAAGACTGTGGAGGAGAGTCTGGTGTGGTGGGGTGTCCGAAGGCAGCTGCTCCACCAGAGCAGAAGATGGAGGCCTTGCCTGAACAAGGACAAATCACAGCCACAGAAGACTCTGCTCTGCTTGCTTTTCCACCCTCCCCACAGGGTCCAGCCTTCTCCTGATGACTCTGAGATGCTGCTCACTGACCAGAGGGTCACCTGGGAGAAGGGAAAGTCATTACGGAGAAGTTCCTACAGAGTGTCTGCAGATATTTAACCAGTGCTCTTCCCCAGGTTTTAACAGGGAACCAGCATCTACAGCACAGTGCTGCATTGTAGGACACCTCTGATAAGGTGGAAGGGAAAAAAAAAGACCTGGTGTCAGTTACCAAATTTGCCTGGTTCTGAATTAACAACTGTGAAGAAGGAATGGAAGGAAATTAACCATCAGGAAAGGCCTCCTGTGTGACAGGGCTTTTAGACATTATTTCACTATAAGGTAGGTGTTATCATAGCCATTTTTAAAAATAATTATATATTTTTATGAGCACATAGTAGGTGTATATATTTATGGGATACATGAGATGTTTTGATACAGGCATGCAATGCATAATAATCACAGCATGGAGAATGGAGTATCCATCCCCTCAAGCATTAATCCTTTGTATTACAAAGAACTCAATTATACTCTTTTATTTTTAAACAAAATAAAATTATTGCTGACTATAGTCTCCCTGTTGTACTATCAAATACTAGGTCTTTTTCATTCATTTTAACTATTTTTTTTAACCTATTAACCATCTCCATCTCCCCACTACCCCTATGATAGCCACTTAAAGAAGGGAAGCTGCCGGGCGCAGTGGCTCAAGCATGTAATCCCAGCACTTTGGGAGGCCGAGGCGGGTGGATCACAAGGTCAAGAGATCGAGACCATCCTGGTCAACATGGTGAAACGTCGTCTCTACTAAAAAATACAAAAAATCAGCCGGGCATGGTGGCCCTTGCCTGTAATCTCAGCTACTCAGGAGGCTGAGGCAGGAGAATTGCCTGAACCCAGGAGGCGGAGGTTGCGGTGAGCCGAGATCGCGCCATTGCACTCCAGCCTGGGTAACAAGAGTGAAACTCCGTCTCAAAAAAAAAAAAAAAAAGAAGAGAAGCTTGAGGCTGAGAGAAATCAAGGTCACACAAGATTTGAACTCAACTCTGTCTGACTCCATCATCAGAGCCATGGAGCTTCAAATGAACATGGCATTAACCCTCCATCTCCATGCTAATGATAGGATGAGGACGGCACAGTTTATATTTATTGGGTAAATACTGTGGGCCAGTGATGGTTCTATGCACTTTTGCACATTAACTCTTTTCATCCTCCTAACAACACTATCAGGTAGAAATTGTTATTGTCCCCATTTTAAAGATGAGGAAACTGAGCCACTAAAAGGTTAAATAACATGCCCAAGATTACACAGCTAGTAAGTGGCAGAGATTAGGGAAAAAATGGAAAGTAGTAATAGGATAAGGTTTAAAATAATTAAGAACAATTTACATTTTATTTTGAAAACATAGGATCTTCCCTCAACTCATTACTAAGAAAATTTATCTTACTAAAGCATAAGGGCCCAAATACAAGCCCCTAAAATGTTGGTGGTAATCCCCGGGATTCTGTCTTAAGCCTTCTTCTTTTCACTCCTGATGGCTTCTCTAAGTGACTGCAGCCAATCCCATGGCCATGGTGTCCACACAGAGGTCAGTGATTACATATGTTCAGTTTAGTCTTCTTTTGAGCTCCAGAACCTTATATCTAACAGCGCCCTGGAAGTTTCTATCTTAATCGTCTTAAATGGAACACCTCAAACTTGGCATGTCCAAGACTGAAATCATTCTATCCCCCAAACTGCTCCTCCAGTGTTTGCTGTTTCAGGGATTGGAACCACCATCCAACTGTTACCCAAGCCAGATGCTGTCCTCCTAGCCTCCATCTCCTTCACCCCCACTCCAACCACTAATATCCAATCACCAAATTCTAACAATTCTACTTCCTAAATATTCGTCTTATTTTATTCTTTCTTCCATTCTCACTATCGCTATTCTAATACAGGCCACCATCACTGCCAACCCTATTTACTGACATAACCTGCTACCTAGGGTTACTTCATCCCATTCAGTTCTCTATGTTGCAGCCAAAGTGGTCTAAAATGCTAACTTGAGCATGTTACTCTTCTACTTAAAACAAGGCTCCTCATAGCTCCTGAAACACAGTCTGTACTCTTCAACACAGCTTAAAAGGCTGTGCCTGATCTGGGCCCTGCCTCATGGCTTAACATTCCCTTCCCATATCTCTTCCTGCCTTGCGACCTATGCTCCAGAAATAATGACTTGCTTCATTTCCCTAAACACCTTTGGCACTTGCTGCTCTGCCTGCATTTCCCTAATCATACACTTACCCCACTGTATTGTAATTGTCTGCTTACTTCTCTCTCTTCCCCAGAGGATGACTGAGTCTAGCCTCAATGCCTGTTACTTTGTGGGCACTCAATCAATATTTGTTGACTAAATATTGAAAGTGTACAACCACATAATTGATGATAGTTAACTATGAAGACAAGACAGAACACACCAAAATCCTAATAATGATTGCTCTGGGAGAGGAATTAGAGAGGGGTAGTAAAGAGGCACTTTGGTGTTTTGCTTTGAATACTTCCATCACAGGATAACACATGAGATTTGAGGGTTTTGTTTGTTGTTTTTTTGCTGTTGTAGAATAAAAAAGAACGACAGCTATTTATATTTTGTTTTGTGTCTCTTCCCTCCTTCCCTTTCAAGAAGATGGCTTCACCTTCTATTTCCTTGCTTCAGGGGCATTTGCCAAAAGCAAATGTTGTTTAAAGGCCTCCCTTCCTGGCTTTTGCAGAAAAACTGAACTCACTGTGGAAGTGTGAGTGTCCCAAAGGCAGAAGGGCATGGGGTGAGGGGAGGAGTCAAAGTCT